TGTGGATGTCTGGAATCCCGGGATGCTCTCATTGACATTGTGGATGTCTCGAATCCCGGGATGCTCTCATTGACCTCGTGGATGTCTGGAATCCTGGGGTGCTCTCATTGACCCCGTGAATGTCTGGAATCCCGGGATGCTCTCATTGACACTGTGGATGTCTGGAATCCCAGGATGCTCTCATTGACCCCGTGGATGTCTAGAATCCCAGGATGCTCTCATTGACCCCGTGGATGTCGGGAATCCCGGGGTGCTCTCATTGACACTGTGGATGTCTGGAATCCTGGGATGCTCTCATTGACACTGTGGATGTCTGGAATCCCGGGGTGCTCTCATTGACATTGTGGATGTCTGGAATCCTGGGGTGATCTCATTGACCCCGTGGATGTCTAGAATCCCGGGATGCTCTCATTGACACTGTGGATGTCTGGAATCCTGGGGTGCTCTCATTGACACTGTGGATGTCTGGAATCCTGAGGTGCTCTCATTGACCCCGTGAATGTCTGGAATCCCGGGGTGCTCTCATTGACATTGTGGATGTCTGGAATCCCGGGGTGCTCTCATTGACCCCATGGATGTCTGGAATCCCAGGGTGCTCTCATTGACATTGTGGATGTCTGGAATCCTGGGGTGCTCTCATTGACCCCGTGGATGTCTGGAATCCCGGGATGCTCTCATTGACATTGTGGATGTCTGGAATCCCGGGGTGCTCTCATTGACCCCGTGGATGTCTGGAATCCCGGGGTGCTCTCATTGACATTGTGGATGTCCAGAATCCCAGGATGCTCTCATTGACCCTGTGGATGTCCAGAATTCCAGGGTGCTCTCATTGACACTGTGGATGTCTGGAATTCCGGGGTGCTCTCATTGACCCCGTGGATGTCTGGAATCCTGGGGTGCTCTCATTGACATTGTGGATGTCTGGAATCCCGGGGTGCTCTCATTGACCCCGTGGATGTCTGGAATCCCGGGATGCTCTCATTGACCCTGTGGATGTCTGGAATCCCGGGATGCTCTCATTGACATTGTGGATGTCTGGAATCCCGGGGTGCTGTCATTGACATTGTGGATGTCTGGAATCCCGGGGTGCTCTCATTGACACTGTGGATGTCTGGAATCCCGAGATGCTCTCATTGACATTGTGGATGTCCGGAAACCCTGGGTGTTCTCATTGACACTGTTGATGTCAGAATCCCGGGGTGCTCTCATTGACCCCGTGGATGCCTGGAATCCCGTGGTGCTCTCATTGACCCCGTAGATGTCAGAATCCCGGGGTGTTCTTATTGACCCCGTGAATGTCCAGAATCCTGGGGTGCTCTCCTTGACACTGTGGGTTGAGGGACTCACTGCTGCTCGGTAGGTATTCCCAGCTTTCTGTGTGGACTTCTCTTATATTGCTCTGGTGGAGAGTTGGAGTGTCCTGTTACAGGGTGTCCTGTCTCTCTTGGTGAGAGAGCGGTCTGGCTGCACACTTGGGCTTTGCTGTTGTGGCTGTGGGTGGACCTGCCGTTTTTTATGTACTGTTCGGCTGGAGTAGAGCAGTTTTTATTTAACTGTGTTTTGTTTTGCTGCCTCTTGATCCTTGAGTTGGAAAAACAGGCTTTTTTTTTTCCTGCGTCTTGGTGTTTCTGGGTTGGGGGCTCCTCTTGCTCTAGGTCTGGAATATATAAGGCACAATTCTAGGCAACTCCTGCCGTCCTTGGGTCCTGATGTCCCAACGGGTCTGCCCTTTTCTCTCCTCCTTTGAAAGTCTTTGTGTGGTTGCTTTATATGTAATGTCCAGGGTTTTTAGTTGTACTTAATGGAAAGAATAAGGAGAAGTGTACGCACTCCATCTTCCTGGAGGTGGAAGTATCCTTAGCAGCTTCTGGTGCTGAGCACTTTTCCATGTGCTTAAGACCATTCTCACTTATATTTTTCTTTGTGAAATGCCTCATTACTTTCTTACCCCATTTATTAGAGTGTATGGTGCTTTTTAAAAATTGAGATGTAGTGCTTTTCTTTTTTCTGAAACAGGGTCTTGTTGTGTTGTATAGTAGAGTCATCGCAGCTTACCCCAGCACTTGAATTTCCAGGCTCAAGCAATCCTCTTACTTCTGTCTCCCGAGTAGCTGGGACTACAAGCACACACAACCAGGCCTGGCTAATACTTTTTATTTTTTGTAGAGACAAGGTCACACTGTTGCCCAGGCCGAGGACTTCTTTGTATACTCTAGGTACTAGTCCTTTATAAAATATGTTTTATAAATGTTTCCCCTGAGTGTGGCTTGCCAAATCCTTTTCCTAATACAGTAGAACCTCTGTAATTTGACCAAGGGACTGTAACAAACTGGTCAAAACATATGGAGGTGGTCAACATAAGGACCTGGGCCTCCTGTACTGATTCGTACCTGTGGTGGTCAGTGCAGGGAGCTGGTCAGCTGTCGGGCTTCTGCTCTAGGCTCTTTGGAGGCATCAGAAATTTCTGTGACTGTTCCTACTTGTATCGTGTCTAAGAAAACTTTGCCTACTCCCAAATCATGAAGACATTCTGCTTTATAGTTTTAACATTGATATTTATGTCTGTGATCCATCTCAGTTTAATTTTTGTATATGTCGTGATATAAAGATTAAGGTTTTTTTAAAATCACAATATGGATATTCACTTGTTCTAGCAACAAAGGTTGAAGAAAAATTTCTCCTTCTGTTAAATTGCTTCCTTTCCCTCTGTTAAGAGCATCCTATCTTTTTTTTTTTTTTTTTTTTTTTGCAATTTTTGGCCAGGGGCTGGGTTTGAACCCACCACCTCTGGCATATGGGGCCAGCGCCCTACTCCTTGGAGCCACAGGTGCCGCCAAGAGCACCCTATCTTGGTAGGCTGGATAAGTTACAATGCTAGTGAGAGGAAAAAAAAGCCTAAATGAATTTTAGAGCTTGAAAACTCAATTTCAGATTTCTGTTCTGCCATTTTGTGGCTTTATTTTCAGGTGTGGATTAACTTCTTGGGACACGAGAACACCTTTCTCTACAGAATTGAGATAGTCATTACCGCTAACGTCCAGGGTTTGGGAGATGCTTTAAGTGAGATAATGTATAATGATAATAACTGCTGTCTTTTGTCTATTTAAGATATATTAGTCATTTATTATTTCAGTTAATATCTTTAAAATGTGGTGAGTTGTTTAGTCCAAACCAGCCTACGTTAAAACACCTTCTACTTAATAACGTGGACCTACCCGGGGACGGGCTTCAGGGCTTTTATTCTAGGTGAGCGTCTGGAGAAATAGCATGGTCTTATTTTCACTGGTCTGCCACTGCACATGTGTTACATGTGCCCTGGAGTTTTGTCTGAATGTTTTTTCTTTCTCGAACTAGATGAGAAGTGTGGTATCTTATTAAAAAGTATATATTCAACTTGGCTAAAGAATACCATGAATCTTCTGTTATTGCTGGTAGATACTTTTAATGAGGTCTGTGTATAAATAGAGCAAAATAAATTTATTCTCTCTCAGTGGGAAAGGTCATAAGTCTGAGCAGCGTCACTGGACTGAAGTGAGCGTTCTGGCAGGGCCGTGCTCCTCACAGGCTCAGGGCGGCATCAGCTCCTGGCAGGGCCGTGCTCCTCACAGGCTCAGGGCGGCATCAGCTCCTGGCAGGGCCGTGCTCCTCAGTGGCTCTGGGCAGTATCCGTTCCTTGCTGGCTTCTGGCATTTCCTGACTTGTGTCTGCATCACTTAGATCTTGCAGGCCAGAGTTTTCAGATCCCTTTCGGTTCCATCTTCGTGTGACTTTCTCCTCTGTGTCTGGCCCAGATCTCCCTGCGTTTCCTCACAGGAGTGTGTGTGACTGCGTTTAGGACCCCCTAGTTAATCTGGGATAATGTCCCCATTTTAAGGTCCTTTTTCACATCTGCAACGACTCTTATTTTTGACATTTTTCCCGTGTAAGCTGACATGCACAGGACCCATGGATTAGGATGTGGAGCATTTTTGGAGGGCCATATTTCAGCCTACCAAGTCCGGTTGTATGTTTTTTACCAGAATAATCAACATTAACAAGGTAAAAGTACTGTTAAAAAACTTAGTAACGAAAATGCCAAAGATATAAAAAAAAAAGAATTCTTTCAGTTGAGTACTTTGTAAACTTTGAAGTGTAATAAAGCTTTTAATTATTATTACAATTTTTATGTCAGAGTTACATAGGCAAAGTCTAATCAGAAGGTTAAATATATGAACGGGTGGTTCCTGAGGCTCAAAGGAGTGGGGCACCGGCCCCGTATGCTGGAGGTGGTGGGTTCAAACCCAGCCCTGGCCAAAAACTGCAAAAAGAAAAAAAAAAAATAGAATATGACCAAAAGCTTTGTGGAGTCCAAGAAGGCTGATACTTGTGTTTTCTGTAGTGCATCAGGCTAAATAAGTTAAAGTTTTAGGAAGAGCTAGGTTAAAAGCATGTTATGGTTTTTAAAAAACAACGAATTTTCTTTGCTTAAACTTTTAAGAATCTTCCACGCACTTCTGTTTACCTCTCTCTCCCACCTCCTTTTATGAAGGTGCCCCTCACGGAAGCAGTAGACCCAGTAGATTTCGAAGATTACCTCGTCACTCATCCTTTAGCCGTGGATTCCGGGCCATTAAGGGATTTGATCGAGTTTCCTCCAGATGATATCGAAGTTGTTTATCGGCCTCGGGACTGTAGAACCCTTGTTTCAGCTGTACCTGAAGAAAGGTAAGGAGATATTTACCCGCCTGTGGTTTTAGTGTGACTATAGAAAGGCCACTTTCCATTATTTTATTTAGAACCAATTTCCTTATGACTGTGTCATGTCTTGTTATAACAACATGAACTGTAGTGACTGAATCCCCAGACATCAGTGCTTGCCTGTCTAAATTACAAAAATGTTTTCTTCTTAAAAATAGTGAAATGGATCCTCATGTTAGAGACTGTATAAGAAGTTACACAGAAGACTGGGCAGTTGTGATCAGAAAGTAAGTTATATGTTTTTGATAACATTTAAAAATACTGAGAGGGACTCCGATGTGTACAAATAATCAACGTGTTGAATCCCATAATGGCATAAATGTATTTATGATCTTTGTACAAATGACTTAATAAAAAAAATACTGAGAAGGGTTTGTAAGTGGATTAAGGTAGAATAGTGATAATTGTGAGATCTGAAAATTTATTTAAACAAAATACTTGAAGAAACAGAGTAGAACCTTGTATATAGACATTTTCTTAGGAATTCCACAATTATTTTTACTTGCTTTCCTTATAAAGTAGTAGGTTTGTGGGTATAGTCTTTCCATATTATTACAGATCATTAAGATCTAGTAATATATAATAATAATGATTTTATAGTCTAATTCTTTGATGAAACCATGGCAAGATATTGATGAATAATTTATATTTCTCAAAAAAAATCCAATTTAATAACACTTAAACGGCTCAGTTAAACTTCATGGTCACTTTTCCAACTCAAGTTATCTGAAAGGCCTTTGCTTTTTCTAACTGATGGTTTTGGGTCTTTGATCTGTGTATCCAATCAGTTAAATATTTGTGAAACAATGTTTTCTTCTATTCCAAATTTATTTTTCTACCAGGCTATGTTTGAAACCTCAAGTCAGATTAAGAAACAAAACTACCTTTCCTTTGCTAATTTACATAGTGCAGAAGCATTTTCATACCGACACGTCTTAGCCTTATGTTACCATAGGAGACAAAATCACCGAAGTAGTAGAGAATTCTGATCTATGCCGAAGAGCACTGCAAACAGGACGGGTCCGTTGCTTGTTGTTTCGAAACCCTCATGGCTGCTGTTTTATTTTACTGGGCTTAATATTGTGCTAAGTATCAGCCTGGGGGATAATGCTGACTTGGTTTTTAGTTTGAGTGTGACCTAATAAAAGCACAGTCTGCTGCCCTTTATATAGAAGAGCTGTGTTTTATGAACTTACAATTTTGATAATTATTTCATCAGTAGCCTGCTTTTAGACATCACTGAAAGAAACTTCCTCTGTCAGGTAATTTGGAAGTCTTTACCTCTTTACACGTATGTTGGAACCCTGTTATTAGAAATCTTAATAAGAGGAGGTTAGTTGTAAAATATATTGACCTCAGAATCGTGGAATCTAATTTTGAGACAGAGTCTCAGTATGTTGCCCGCAGTAGAGTGCTGTGGCTTCACTGCTCACAGTAACTTCAAATTCATGGGCTTAAGCAATTTTCTTGCCTCGGCCTCCCAAGTAGCTGGGACTACAGGCGCCCAGCACAACACCCAGCTATTTTGGTTGTTGTTGTTGTAGTTGTCATTGTTGTTTTTAGCAGGCCCAAGCTGGGTCTGAACCTACCACGCCTGGTCTGTGTGGCTGGTGCCCTACCCACTGAGCTACGGGGTGCTGAGCCTTAATCAAGGGGCTGCTAATCTTGACTAAGGCAAGAGTGTAAGGGAATTAACATTGATGGGAACTTACTGTGTGTGAGGCATTTGATTGAGCACTTTATATTCACCTCATTTAAGGTTCTAACAGAAAAGGTAGCTCAGGCTCCGAGTAGTTAAGTGACTTCTGTGGTTCCACAAGCCACAAACTGAGGTAGCCAGAATTGGAACGTAGGAGCATCAGATTCTAAAGCTCACCTTTTTTCCTGTTATACTAGTCATCGTACATTATCTGCTTCGGTAAATGGAAGGTCAAAGGGTACTTTTGGTGAAATAGAAGTTGCGAGGTATTTCTCAAAAACAGCAGGTAGATATGATTAGAACATAAGAGAGAACCGGAGGACAGGGTAGCGTAAGGATAAAATGTACACAGAAGCTTCAGTAGTGCTTTCAGCTCGGAAGCAGGGAACACAGCAGTGATGGGGGCCTGGAGCAAATGCTGGAGACCTGGTTCTGTCGGAACGCCCCATGCCGTGTGTGCACAGCGGTGTCGGCAGAAACCACTCTCCTGTTTGTTAGGAGCCGTGCTTGGGTGGATAGGACTATGCCCAGGGTGAATGTGCCTTGCAGGAAGAAGGAGCCCTTAGACCTAGACGGCTAGAGATTGGCAGACTTCGCCTGGCAGCAAGATCTGCATGTTCCCTACAGCTGCTGGGCTTGGGTTGGGATGAGTGGATACCGTAGTTCCAGACAGATGTGGGGGATGCAAATTCAAAACTGAACATAGGCCAGGCGCAGTGGCTCATGCCTGTAATCCCAGCACTCTGGGAGGCTGAGGTGGGTGGAGCTGAGGAGTTTGAGACCAGCCTGAGTTTAAGACCTTGTCTCTACTAAAAATAGAAAAACTAGCCCTGCATTGTGGCAGGCTCCTGTAGTCCCAGCTGCTCAGTAGACTGAGGCAAGAAGATCACTTAAGCCCAAGAGATTGAGGTTGCTGTGAGCCATGATGCCACGGCACTCTACCCAGGATGACAAAGTGAGACTGTCTCAAAACAAAACAAAACAAAACTGAACATAGAACCCAGAATTGCCAAGTATGTGATGAGAGCTAGTACATTTGAAACAGAATTATTAAACTACAAATAAAAGGACTAATAATTTAGGAAAGATTAAATATAGATTAAAATCCCTAAATTTGGTGGTGCCTGAGCTTAAGCAGCTAAGGCGCCAGCCACATATACCAGAGCTGGTGGGTTTGAATCCAGCCCAGGCCTGCCAGACAACGACAACTACAACCAAAAAATAGCTGAGTGTTGTGGCCGGCGCCTGTAGTCCCAGCTACTTGGGAGGCTGAGGCAAGAGAATCCCTTAAGCCCAGGAGTTGGAGGTTGCTGTGAGCTGTGACACCACAGCACTCTACCCAGGGTAACAGCTTGAGGCTCTGTCTCAAAAAAAAAAAAGAAAATCCCTAAGTTCAATGAATACATTTATGTGTTAATGTTCATAAAATATGTAAGGGGGTATGTTAACCATAAAGGAATCAATTATTTATCTTTGGAAATTAAGAAAAAAAATTTTTTTGAGACAGAGTCTTACTCTGTCACCATGGTGACCTGGCTCATGGCAACCTCAAAGTCTTGGACTTAGGGGATCCTTCTGCCTCAGCCTCCTAAGTAGCTAGGGCTACCGGCACCTGCCATGATATCTGGTTAATTTTTCTATTTTTAGTAGAGATGGGGGTCTCACTATTGCTCAGGCTGGTTGCAAATTCCAGAGCTGAAGTGATCCTCCTGCCTTGGCCTCCCAGAATGCTAGGATTATAGGCATAAGCCATCGTGCCTAGCTTGGAAGTTAAAAATTTGATTAGTGAAAAAATACACATATTAAAAACTCAGCAGATGGGCTTAATGGCAGAGTAGATGTGTCAAAAGAGTGAAACAGGGAGTGATAAGAGGAAACCACAGGCCAGATGTGGGGGCTCACACCTGTAACCCTAGCACTTTGGGATTGCTTGGACTCCAGAGTTTGAGACCAGCCTGAGCCAGAGCCGGACCTCATCACTACTAAAAACAGAAAATGTTAACCAGGTGTTATGGTGGGTGAGAGTCTTGTGTGTACCAGACAGTTTACTAAACACTGAGGATACAGCACAGGGAGCGAAACTGACTGGTCGTCCGCACGGAGCTTATGTTCCAGTAGGGGATGAGGTAGATGAAGACTACTACATACATGGTAGACGTGGTAGAGATGAGCCCCTGGAGGAAGGGAGAGGGTTAGCCTTTGGTTATCTGTGAGAAGAGTGGGAAGAACAGAACATGCGTGGGACCCGTGCGGGAAGCTCCCTGGCAGTGTCCAGGGAACAGTAAAGAGGACGGTGGCTGGAACAGAGTAAACGGAGGTGAGAACGCAGTTAGACGGGAATCACGTAGAGCCCTTCACAGCAACTGACTGGAGGACGGGATGGTAATAAGGAAAGAGTATTGATCTTTTCAGGATTCTTGTATACATTGTCAGTTTTTTTATGACATAGGCAACATTATTCTCATTTAACACAGAAACTTACATTTGCAACTTTACAAATTAAGGCACTTACAACATTTCATGAAAGATTAAGATACCTGCTTGTAAATAGTATCTTTCATATCACTAGATTTAGTGTTTTTGTTTGAAGTGGTTTCAGAAAAAAAACAAATTTTTTTTTGAGACAGTCTCACTTTGTCGCCCTTGGTAGCGTGCTGTGGCGTCTTAGGTCACAGCAACCTCAAACTCTTTGGCTGAAGTGATCCTCTTGCCTCAGCCTCCCAAGCAGCTGGGACTACAGGCGCCCGCCACAACATCCAGACATTTTTAGAGACAGGGTCTTGCTCTGGCTCAGGATGGTCTCAAAACTGTGAGCTCAGGCAATCCGCCCACCTCAGCCTCCTAGAGTGCTAGAATTACAGGCGTGAGCCACCGCACCCAACCAGAGAAAAACATTTTATTTTGTGATTATGCTGTAATGCTAGCATCATGTGGTTGCTATTTTAATAGCTTTAGTTCAAGAAGATTGGATGTCAGTGGTCCATAGCAAATGTGAATTTTTGAATTGGCTGGTGGCAAGAACCAGCCATCTTCTGGTAATCATTACTGCTTCTCACAGTTTAACTCTGCAGAGGGTTAAATCATGAATGGTAATTGCTCCTTGACCAGCTCTTATCTGGTGTTATTGACTATTGGCCTGTTAGGAAAAAAGAGTACATTGACTGGAGTTGTTTTAGCCACATCGTGTGTATATGTGTGTATATCTATGTGTACAATGTTAATTAAATTATGTGTGTATACAGGGGTGGTATAGATTTTCTGTGTTATGTTTTACAAGTCCACAGCTTTAGGTTAAGATCTTTTTATAAATAATGAGACATAGCAAAAACCTTCTTGGTTATTTGAAATTCTCAGATTTAGTGGTATGTACATACACATGTATTTAACCTTTCAGAAATTTATATTATTATTAATACAATATATATTTTCTGCTTTCTCATTTTTTTCTTTAACGTGGCTTTTCTTTTTACTGACAAATTCTCTGAATTGAAAGTACAACTTAAATTATGTATACACACTTGGCATTTGCGTTTGGGACCTCATTATCTATTCTTTAGTTAAATTAAAGGAACTTTGGATGGAAAATCTCTTAAACCTATGGTTAATTGTTTAACACACTCGAGACTGCTAGGAGATGTCCTTATCATCTAAAGAAATAATGCAAATAATAACTGGCTTCTTGTGTACTGATGCTGAAAAAGTGAAATAGTTTCAAAAATTGATATTCATTTAACTATTTTATTTTGAATAGATATCATAAACTGGGGACAGGATTTAATCCCAATACGTTAGATAAACAGAAAGAAAGGCAAAAAGGTTTGCCAAAACAGGTCTTTGAATCTGATGAAGCTCCAGATGGCGCCAGCTACCAGGACGATCAAGTAATTAATACTCTTATTCTTCAATGACTATAAGAATTTATTTTAAAATATTTTATTTTCCATTTATTAATCATCATGTTCATATTTAACGTCCCTGATGGCAGGATGATCTTAAGAGACGTTCAATGTCCATAGATGACACTCCCCGGGGGAGCTGGGCCTGCAGCATCTTCGACTTGAAGAATTCACTTCCCGATGCCTTGCTGCCCAACCTACTGGACCGGACTCCCAATGAGGAAATAGACCGGCAGAATGATGACCAGAGGAAGTCAAACCGCCACAAGGAGCTCTTTGCTTTGCACCCATCACCAGATGAGGTATAGATGTTTGCATATAAAGAAGCAACTGATTGGGCAGTGCCTGTGGCTCAAAGGAGTAGGGCACCGGCCCCATATGCCGGAAGTGGCGGGTTCAAACCCAGCCCTGTCCAAAAAAAAAGAAAAGAGGCAACTGATTATAAAAAGAGATTTTGGGAAAGTATTATTTACATACAGTATTACAATAATGTAGGGAGGAAAATTTAACTGAAACATAGCTATAATTTTTATAAATGAGTATTTTTTATATTACTGAATTCATTCTTAATGAGTCACTTCTGTGAATTGAACATACTTAGGATTTAATGACTTCTATTTATGAATAAATGGGTCATTCTTTGTTCAGTGGTGTAGACTAAGAGGATTAGTAAAATAGATTCCTTTTTAAAATTTATTTCAGGTTAGTGTGAGAGTACAAACAACCGAGTCACAATATTTGAATTTGTTAGGTAGAGTCCCCCCATAGTTATGTCCTGTACCCCAAAGGTGTGCCATACACCCCTACATCGTGCCCACTCAGTGGGAGCACTCCCAACCCCCCTCTTCTCCCTCCCTCCCCCCAACTTGAATTGAAATGAGTTTTTCTCCTACGTGGACGTGAATTAGATCGTCTACTGGCTTTTATATTACTGTTGAGTATGTTGGATATTTGCCTTCCCATTCTTGGGACTCTTTACTGAGGAGAATGTGTTTCAGCTCCATCCAGGTCAATACACAAGATGGATGGCACCATCTTTTTTAATGGCTGAATAATATTCCACGGTATACACACACCAGTTTGCTAATCCATTCCTGAGATGATGGGCATGTAGGTTGTTTCATAAAATAGATTCTTAAGGATACAAGTTGTGCAGCGTTGAAATCTGATGAGCATGTTCATTTTGTTTTGCTTGTCACTTGTAGGAGGAATCCATAGAGCGGCTTAGCGTTCCTGACGCACCCAAAGAACATTTTGGTCAAAGACTTCTCGTAAAATGTTTATCACTCAAGTGAGTACTTTTAGAAAACTGGATAACTTTTATTTTCCTGGGTAATATTTTGAATACTAAGGTAACAAAAATCTTAGTGGATTTTATACTTATATTTATGTCCTTTTAAGAAGTATTGTTGCAAACACAATTTTAAATGCTGTTCAGCATTCAAACTTAGGTGTGAACTAAGCTTTTATTTATTTATTTATTTTTTGAGACAGAGTCTCACTGTGTCGCCCTTGGTAGAGTGCTGTGGCATCATAGCTCACAGCAACCCCAAACTCTTGGGCTTAAGCGATTCTCTTGCTTCAGCCTCCCAAGCAGCTGGGACTTACAGGCACCCTCCACAACTCCCAGCCGTTTTTTTTTTTTGTTGGTGTTGTTATTGTAGTTGTCGTTGTTTGGCAGGCCCGGGCTGCGTTCAAACCCACCAGCCCTGGCGTCTGTGGCTGGCGTCTGTGGCAACGTCTGTGGCCGGCGTCCTAGCCGCGGAGCTCCAGGCGCCTGAACTAAGCTTTTAGAGCATCGCTGGTTCATAGGTGAAGGTGAATAATTGCAGCAGCCATACAATTAGTTATAAAATGTGAAAAAATTATTCACAAAATCTTTAGTATTTACCCAGACGCTGTTCTTGATTGGGGAATATGAAGAAAAGGTATCTTTTTCCTTAAAGAGCTAGTTTTGTATTTGCTACATGTCAGGCTTTGTTTTTTGAAGATTTCTAAGTGTATATATATTTCCCCTTAAAAAAGTTAGATGACTTCCACTAGCATTGAGATGATGTCTCTTTCATTTGTACTCTGCTTCATGAAGTTCTTTCTCTTATTTTAGTCCATGCCGTCTTCAGAATAATTCATAAGATAGGTCTTATTTTTTCATTTTACAAATGTGGAAAATAGGATTCAAAGGCTTAGTGGATGTTAACTGGCATTCTCATTATTATGCAAAACAAACACCTAACTGCAAAACAAACTCCTTCCTCTTTCCATTATATCATGTTAATATTATAAGTTACTTATTAGTTCTGACTTAAGAAAAAAGAAGTTTCAATTCATAGAGCTTTCTAAAAGAAATAACTCATAGGGATAGGTGACGTTTGTGTGTAATCTCGCAGTTTTCTTTCCTTGAAAGTGAAGACTTTCTATATTTAGTTAGATTTATTCGGAAACCTGTTAGATGAACTGCGGTAAGTCTTTTGAATATCTGGACACTTAACATCAGTTCTTATTTATAATCTTCTTAATTTGTTTTCCAAAAGTTTTAATATAATTTGCATGTTATAAAATTCACTGTTCTAAAGTGTACAAGTCAGTGGTGTGTATTCCTAGAGTTGTATGACTGTCACTCATATCTGCTTTCAGAACCTTTTTATCACAGCAGAAAGAAAATCCATACTCATAATAGTTTGTTCAGGCTTCCACAACAGAATACCATTACCAGACTCGGTGACTTGATAGAAATCTGTTTCTTAAGTTCTGGAGGCTGGAAGTCCAAGGTCAGGTGCTGGTGGTTGGTTTCTGGCGAGGCCTCTCGTCTCAGCTTGCAGAGGCGGTCGTGTGCTGTGCTCCCACGTGACCCTTCATTTGTGAGTGCGTGGAAAGGGAGACTCTCTGCTTCTTCCCCTTCTTAGAACCTGGGGTGTCCAGCCTGTTGGCTTCTCGGGGCCTCTTTGGAAGGAGAAGAGTTGTCTTGGGCCACACGTTAAATACACAAACACTAACAAAAGCTGATGAACAACAACAAAAAAGTCCATGCATAATCTTCATGACATTCACCACCACAGATAAGCAAAAAATCCTCACATAATAATACTAGTTGCGTAATGGCCCATTCAGAGAGTGTTTTAACGTTGTTGAACAGGTCCCAAGTTTGTGATCACCAATGTAGAAAATGTATGTATCTAAGTAATAAAAAATCTTTGTTTTTTTTTGGGTTTTTTGTAGAGACAGAGTCTCACTTTTATCACCCTGGGTAGAGTGCTGTGGCGTCATAGCTCACAGCAACCTCCAACTCCTGGGCTTAAGGGATTCTCTTGCCTCAGCCTCCTGATAGCTGGGACTACAGGCACCCGTCACAACACCCGGCTATTTTTTGGTTCAGTTCAGCTGGGGCCGGGTTTGAACCCGCCACCCTCGGTATATGGGGACGGCGCTGATCCACAGGCGCTGCCCATATCTTTGGTTTTTTAAAAAATATACATGTTTTTTGGCCGGGGCTGGGTTTGAACCCTCCACTTCCGGCCTATGGGACTGGCGCCTTACTCATTTGAGCCACAGGCACTGCCCTAAAAAATATTTTTTATTATAACAGTGGGCAACATAAAAGTAGTGGGATACTTGACATTGTGTTTGAGAAACTAAGGCATCACTGTCTGGTTTGATGAAAGTAGCTGCAATTCTCAGTGAGTTCTCAAAGTGTTTATAAGATATTTTGATTCTAATTTTACTCTTCCTGTGCTTCATTCTTGAAAATACTTTCTCGTAAATGTTAAGTGCTGCCAAAAAGTGATGACATGAATAAGATGTGACTGTGAAGTGAGGGATATTTGTTTCCGGGCAGACAGGACCTATAAAAGTCCAGTAAGAGACACGATCACATTTTTCTTTTTTTTTTTTTGAGACGGAGCCTCAAGCTATCCCCCTGGGTAGAGTGCCATGGCATCACGCTCACAGCAACCTCCAACTCCTGGGCTCAAGCGAGTCTCCTGCCTCAACCTCCCAAGTAGCTGGGACCACAGGCGCCCGCCACAACGCCCGGCCATTTCCTGGTTGCAGCCATCATTGTTGTTTGGCGGGCCCGGGCTGGGGATTCGAACCCGCCACCCTAGGTGTATGTGGCTGGCGCCCCAGCCGCTTGAGCCACAGGCGCCGAGCCGATCACATTTTTCTTTAAGTTCAATGTCAGATTGCAGCTCCGTGCATTCAATTTAAAACTTGGCAGATAACATGTTCACGTCAACTAAAAATGGAGTTTTAAACACACCAAAATATTATTTTCCCAGAAATCTCCAAATGTGTTTTCAAATTCTTGTATGAAATAAAAATCAAGGCTATATATTTTTCACTGTTCACAGGACTGTGTTTAGCCAATGTGTGAAAATACATAAAATTGTTTGCCTTAATTTGAGCTGGCCATAATTTCAGTTTCGTTTGGATTGCGGTTATGGTTTGATATTGTTATGTTAAGTTGGTTTTCACCTTAAGACTTAGGTTTAACTTATTTACATAAGTAGTTAAATCCACGATAAATGCTAAATCTGTAAGTCAGTTTTCATCTTCAAGTTCTGGCACAAATTTGGTTTTTGGTACCATAAACAACTCAATAACATGTCATAATCATATAGTCTTTTCAGCATTTGGCTTTGACTTAGCCATCTTACTTCTGAAAAGTAAATGATGTCACCGTAGTCAGCCTTGACATTCACACAGACATGATTCAATCCCTTGGCCTTTATGAAATTCAGTCTTTTTTTTTTTGAGACGAGTTTCACTGTGTCACCCTCAGTAGAGTACCGTGGCGTCATAGGTCACAGCTCACAGCAACCTCAAACTCCCAAGTAGCTGGGACTACAGGCGCCTGCCACAACGCCCTATTTTTTTGTTGTTGTTGTTGTAGTTGTCATTGTTGTTTTTAGCAGGCCCAGGCCGGGTTCAATCCGGCCCCTAACCACTGAGCTGTGGGTGCTGAGCCTGAAATTCAGACTTGAGGATGAATTTGCATGATGTAATCTATTATTAAAGCTTTTGCACATAGATTTTCTTGACGTACGAGGCAATGATACTTCATCAAGTGTGAGTTTGGGGCGGCTATTACATTGTCTCTATTAATTTTACACGTCTCTCTCTTTACCTGCTGTCGCCAGGACACCATCAGTGCCTATGGCAGATACGTTGACAAGGGAAACCACTTTGTCATATTTTTTACTGCTTCGTAGAAATCTCTGGGTTTAGTTTTATCTTTTAACGGCACTAAAGAAGCCATTTCTTCACTGCATTATATTTGCCATCAATACTTCTAATAAAAACGGCAAGTTGAGCTGTATTTGTGGCATCAGTGCTGGCATTCGTTGCCAAAGCATAAAATTTAAAATTTGCAGCTTTACTTTCCAAGTTTCTTTTGATGGATTTACCAATTAATTCACCTGATTGTAGTCAGGTGAAATAAACTGATTTTAGAAATATCCTCCTTTTTTTCCAGGGTAAGTTATATCTGCCACGCTTTCCATACGTTGGTTAATCAACTTACCATCACTAAATGGTTTTGATTTTTTTGCTATTAAATGTGCTGCCACACAACTAGCTTTTACAGTGGAATCCATATGAATTGTAGCTTTAAAAAATTTTTTGTTGAGAAGACAGGCTTTTTCCAGTTCTGCTATTTTGTCCTTCCTTATGACACAATCCTTCATGTGATCGAATTGGACAGCATGTTTTTGGATATAATGCCTTTTAAAATTATAGTCTTTGAAAACTTGTGCAAATTCCCTACAGAGTAACTAGAGTGCCTTATTATTTGCCTTGACAAAAGGGTAGTCATCGATCCACTTTTCACTCAACAGTCTTTCTTCATTCATAATCTTCTGTTTTCTTTTGAGATATTGTGGGACCCAAGCTGGGATTGAGAAATAATAGATGAGGGGATATATTTTCATTATGAAAGTTAATTGTCGGCTCGGCGCCTATAGCTCAACCGGCTAAGGCGCCAGCCACGTACACCTAAGGTGGCGGGTTCAAATCCCCAGCCCGGACCCGCCAAACAACAATGACGGCTGCAACCAAAAAAATAGCCGGGCGTTGTGGCGGGCGCCTGTGGTCCCAGCTACTTGGGAGGCGGAGGCAGGAGACTCGCTTGAGCCCAGGAGTTGGAGGTTGCTGTGAGCTGGGATGCCACAGCACTCTACCCAGGGGGACAGCTTGAGGCTCTGTCTCAGAAAAAAAAAAAAAAAAAAAAAAAAGAAAGTTAATTGTCAAGACCATAGAAAGCAAAGTCTGGGAGAGGCAGGGTGACGTTGAGGGTGACCTGTGAGGTGCTGACGTCCCCTTAATAGTGAATAAGAATGCTTACCTGACTTCCATGTTGCAACATGATGTCATCTACAAAATTCATGCTGGAGAAAAGTGCAATTGAGTTCTACCAAAAAATCACAAAAACAATCACAATGTTTTAAATAAGTTTATGATTTTGTGTTGGCCCGCAGCCATAGCCATCCTGGACCAATTATGGCCCACCGGTGGGTTGGACACCCCTGTGAGAACAACAGTTCTGTGGCATTAGTACTCCCCCCTTAGGGTCTCATTTAACCTTAATTACCTCCTTAAAGGTCTTATTGCCAAATACAATCACACTGGGGGAGTCTTGCCGTCTTAATGGTCGCTTGTTTAGGGCAGCAGCAGACAAGTAGACCAACAGAATAAACGAGCTAGAAAAAGACCCACATGTGTATGGATTAATGATTTATAATAAAAGTGGGGACTGCAGAGTCGTATGGGAAGGGCAGTCTTCTCAATAAATTGGAGGGACAGTTGGACATTCTCTTTGTCTCTGCCACCCCATCTCCTTTCTTCTCTTTTTCTCTGTCTGTTTCTCTTTGTGTGTGTGTGTGTCTACACATATATATGAAATGAAATTTGACCACTACCTCACATCGTACACAAAAAATTATTTATAGATTGCTACTAGACCTAAATATGAAAAACTTAACGGTGAAGTTTCTAGAAGACAGTGTAGGGAGATCTTCATGATCTCCGAGAAGGGAAAGATTTCTTTGACAGGACACAGAAAGCACTACCCCCAGAGGACACTATCGATACATTTTACTTCATTAAAACGGACAATTTTTGTTTATTAAAAGACACAAGAGTGTGAAGATAGATAGTAGGGGGAGTAACACACTTAAAAAACGTGCTCCAGAATTCATAAAGAACTACAGGTTGATGAGGAAAAGATCAAACAATAAATAGAAAAATGGACGGAAAGAGGATATCGGAATGGTCAAGAAATACATGAAAAGGTGGGTGTGACACCACTTACCCACCGAGGGACCAAATCAGAAAGGCTGATGGCACGTGGCGTCTTAGAGGACGGGGAGCAGGGCTGCGGAGGCCGACACCTGTCAGGACATCCCCTGGATCCCTTCTCTTTTCTTTGGCTTCTGTTGGGGCTTTGCTGAGAGAGGTGGTGGCAGGAGGGTATCGGTGGCGAGGGAGCTCAGTGAGTGACCATCTTGCTTGCCACCTCCTCCCTGCTGAGTCACTTAGATCCCTTGCCTGCTCCTCCAAGGCCACATCTTGGTGAAGAGTGTCCTGGACAGCTAACCTTTCCAGTTTTTGGCCGCCATGTCCATGTTTTCCATCAGGTCTGTGGTTCGTAAGGACTCCTGCTTTTGCTGGCCCCAGGAACGTCACTCTCTGTAGTTGTTTAACCTGAATCCCTCCCAGGTCGTTGTAAATCGCCCTTTAGTAAACTTTCAGCCCAGTGTGAATGTTCCTGTCTCCTCCCGGTGCCCTGACTGATGCTCCCATAATGCAGAACTGAGCAGCGTCCAGCAGGGCTGTTACACTTCAGCACTGTTGACGGTTTTGCCTAGATGCTTCTTTGTTGTCAGAAGCTGTCCGGGTGACGTAGGCTGCTCATTCACCTCTCGGCCTGTGCCAGCTAAATGTGAGAACCAGAAATGTCTCCTGGGTGCTGACAGATGTCCCCTTGGGGGCAAGATTGTCCTTGGTTGAGAACCACTGCTCTGGAGTTTTGGTTAACCTCACATTACGTATTATTCCATTCAACAAAAATTTACTAAATGTATACTGTATATAAGTCATTGTTCTTAGAAATGAATTATACATATCAATTTGGGTATCCATTTACAAAATAAATTTTGGCCTATTCGTATGATGGGAATTACTGTGCCAGCATTAGAAACAATGGTAAGATTATTATTTATGACATAGAAATCTGTCCATAAAATGTTTAAAAAGCAACTAGAAAATACTATGTATGCCATGACATTGTTTAAAAAAATCCATTTGACGGGCTGTGCCCGTGGCTCAGAATAGTAGAGTGCCGGCCCCAAGGTGGCGGGTTCAAACCCAGCCCTGGCCAAAAAAAAAAAATCCATTTGACAAGTGTATTTATACATAAAGTCGATGTACTAAGCATTAAACTGTTAATTGTGGTTCTTTGGTTCTGTTAATTATGGTTTCTGTCTTTCCTCTGAATATTTTCATGTATTTTCTTAAATTTTTCGCATGGAATATATGTTTTTATAATCTGAAGAAGAAAATATTAGACCTTTATTTTTAAATCTTACTTTAAAATGAACATATCTATGCACGTAAATAACCAGATTACAGCTTAGAAAATGATCAGTGCCTCAAAAAGGACGTAAAATGTTGTGGAGCTTTCTGGCAATTTGAGATGGTAGTTGGAGAAATTAAGGAAGATTAACTGGAGGAGGTAACGGTTAATTTAGACGATGACAGATGTGCCCAGATCAGTGTGTTTGAGGAAGAATGTGTGTAGGCAGAGACACAGATCAAAGGTGCAAGGTGTGAGATTAGAACTTCTCTTTAGATACATCTTGTGTGTTTACATTTAAATTATTTTATCCTTTTCCTTCCTAAAGGTTTGAAATTGAAATCGAACCCATTTTTGCAAGTTTGGCTTTATATGATGTCAAGGAGAAGAAAAAGGTAAGGTTATAAAATTTGACCATAGTCATTTGTCATAATCGTAGGTTTCAGATACCTGTTTTAAGGTTGTTTAATAAGTACTGTTTTTGAAAATTATTCAACATAGATCTTTTAAGAAAAAAATAGAGATTTAATTGATTAAGACTAGTTAAATATTTTCTTATTATAAAATACTTAGGCTAGAAAACTTTTTTTTTTCATTTTTTTCTAAGCGAAAAGTAGCAGAAAGCAACTTTCTTTTAAGAAATAGAAAAGGTGATATATGAAAAACATTTGGGGCAAGTGGTACGTAAGAATGATGACGAGAGTGAAGTTTTTTCTTTTTCTTTCTCTTTTTTTAGAGACAGAGTCTCACTTTATCGCCCTTGGTAGAGCACTGTGGAGTCACAGTTCACAGCAACCTCCAACTCCTGGGCTTAGGTGATTCTCTTGCCTTAGCTCCCGATTAGGTGGGACTACAGGCACCCACCACAACACTCAGCTATTTTTTTGTTGCAGTTCAGCTGGGGCCGGGTTTGAACCAGCCACCCTCAGTATATGGGGCCAGTGCCCTACCCACTGAGCCACAGGCCCCACCCCAAGTTTTCTTGATATATATTTCAAATTCTGAAGGCCATTTTTGCATACTTTAAATATTCTGTATTATACTCTTAGTTTTACTGTTGTATTTTTATTTATTTAGGAATTTTTCAGAAGACTATCTCATACATGGTTTCTTAAATTAACATTCTAAACCTAATGTATCGTAGAAACCTGAAGTGCCTTCAGTGACTTCTGCTGTCCATGTGTGACGTGCTTTCCTTTACTGAAACTCTGCTCCAGCAACTCCCATTTTCTAAACCAAAACCACTGAGATAACATTTGTATAAGTACAAAAAACTTGATAAAAAACTCAATTTAGGCTCTCAATGATAACTTCTTTGGGTACTTTATTAGAAGGTACTTGTTTTTTTTTTTGAGACAGATCCTCAAGCTGTCCCCCTGGGTAGAGTGCTGTGGCATCACAGCTCACAGCAACCTCCAACTCCTGGGCTCAAGCGAGTCTCCTGCCTCAGCCTCCCAAGTAGCTGGGACCACAGGCGCCTGCCACAACGCCTGGCCATTTTTTGGTTGCAGCTGTCATTGTTGTTTGGCAGGCCTGGGCTGGATTTAACCCACCACCTTAGGTGTATGTGGCTGGTGCCTTAGCCACTTGAGCCACAGGCGCTGTGCCAGAAGGTACATTTTTAATGAAGAATTTGGTATATGGAGTGGTGCCTGTGGCCCAATGGGTAGGGTGCTGGCCCCACATACCAAGGGTGGCAGGTTCAAACCCAACCTCGGCCAAACTGCAACAAGAAAATAGCCAGGCGTTGTGGTGGGTGCTTGTAGTCCCAGCTACTCAGGAGGCTGAGGCAGGAGAATCACCTAAGCCCAGGAGTCGGAGGTTGCTGTGAGCTGTGATGTCACAGCACTCTACCAAGGGCGACAAAGTGAGACTCTGTCTCTACAAAAAAGAATTTGGTGTGTGATCCTGTGGAGTCTGTTTACTGTATTTCCACGCAGTTTGTATACTTCTTTAGTTTGATTTAGATGTGTAGAGGTTGATCTCAGTGAAACACAAGGCACACGGTAGGTTAGAGTATAATGTCCTGTATCTGTAATGTTTTAGGACTATATATATAAAATATATATGACTCTTGTTATTTTTTATAAAGTGTACAGATTTTAAAAGTTAACATATGAATGTCTTTTTTAGATTTCAGAAAACTTTTATTTTGACCTTAATTCTGAGCAGATGAAAGGATTGTTACGTCCCCATGTGCCCCCTGCTGCCATAACCACCCTGGCAAGATCAGCTATTTTTTCTATCACTTACCCCTCCCAAGATGTTTTTCTTGTAATAAAGGTGAGAATAACGTTAAATATCTTTATTTATTTGTACAGTGTCTGTGTACTTGTCTCTTTACCAATACTGCATAATTTTGAAGAGCAAAGATTTTGGCTTCGCTGAGTTTTTTTCATCTTGTTATTCCTTACCACAATATTAGACAAACTGTAAGTGCCACCTGGTTTTTCTCGACTGGGGAGCTGTATTAGTCAGTGTTCTCAGAGCTAATAGGAGACATATACACGTATATCTGTCTGTATCTACATTTCTGTCTGTCTATATTGAGAGAGGAATGAGGAAGATAAATTGATTTGTTTTAAGGAATTGGCTCAAACACTTCTGGGGGAGGTGGTGGCTCAGGAGTTTGCAGTTTGTGGGGCAGGTCCGCAGACTGGAAATTCATGTGTGGGTTTGAACTGATGTTACAGTTTTGAGTCTTCCACAGGACAGCAGATCAGAAATGTAGGCAGGGTTTCTAAGTTCAAGTCTGGAGGAGAATTCCTTCTTCAGGAAACCTCAGTCTTTGCGCTTAAGGACATAAGTCCTAACCACATAATGGAAAGTGATCTGCTTCATTCACTGTCTATTGCTTTAAAATGTTTATCACCTCCCAAAAATATCTTTGCAGCAACATCCAGACTGCTGTTTGACCAGACATCTGGGCATCATTGCTTAGATAAAAACTAATCATCACAAGAGCTATACTATTTTATCAGTCAGTTCTAAATCATATGAATGCTAAAAGCTAAATCACTGATGTCAGAGAACATAATGATTTGTCTGTCAGCCAATTAAGAATAAGGATTACATATTGTAAGCTCTCAATATTACTGAGCTACTTAGGTTAGTATGACTTAAAAAATAATTTACCTTAACTTGACCTTGACTTGGGAGTAGCCTAAAATATATTCCTTAATCACTTCATTTGTATAAAATTATTATAAAGAGGTAATGAATTTTAATAAGGTTATAAAATAAATTATGAAATGATTCCTGTTTACCCACAGGAATCATGTCCTAATTTGTGAATATATTCCTGTGAATTCAGGTTAAAATAAATCTTAGTTAGAGGGAACAGTTGAATAAGCAATGATTTAGTAGCAATGGCCTTCAGAAACTCACTTTTTAAAGAGTAAAATTAAGTTCTAGAAATGAATACAAATGACAGATCTATGTTGTTATTTTACACTGAGAAAATAGGTTTTCATAAAATAGAGTATATTGGACTGAATGAGCTGGCGAGATAGAAATGATGGCTGGAATATTGATTGCTGGAAATGTGATTGTTTAGTGACAAGATTTAGTTGTTAGGAGAATGATGGCTTAGATAGGATTAAGGATAAGAAACATTGAATCTAAATTTCAGTATTAGGAAATAAATGAATCATGGTACATTCATATGATGTAATACTAAGAATGTAATAATACCACAATTTGGAAGAATTTTTAATGGTATCGAAACATGTGTGACAATGTTCAGTGAAAAACAAGTAGCATGAAACTACCATATAGTGTATGATTCCAGTTGTGTATGTGTTGTATATATATTATATATATATAGCAAAAGATTTTTCTATAATTTAAAAAGAAAGAACAAATGAAATGGTTATTTATTTAAAATTTTTTTTTCCATTCAAGTTTTTTTTTAATTAAATCATAGCTGTGTACATTAATGCAATCATGGGGTACAGTGTGGTGTTTTCATATACAATTTGAAATATTTTCATCAAACTGGTTAACAGAGACTTTATGTCAGTTTTCTTAGTTATTGTGTTAAGATGTTTATACTCTACTTTTAGAAAGATTCACTTGTACCCTTGTAAGACAAACCATAGGGGTGATCCCTCCAATCACCCTCCCTCCACCCATCCTTCTCTGCTACCCCTCCCCCTTCCCCATGTTCTTAGGCTATAATTAGGTTATAGCTTTCATATGAAAGCTATAAATTAGTTTCATAATAGGGCTGAGTACATTGGATATTTTTTCTTCCATTCCTGTGATACTTCGCTAAGAACATTTTCCAGCTCCATCCATGTAAACATGAAGGAGGTAAAGTCTCCATCTTTCTTTATGGCTGCATGGTATTCCATGGTGTACATATACCACAGTTTATTTATTTATTTAAATTTTAAGGCCAAGATGTGGAGGCTCAGGCCTGTATCCAAACACTTTGGGAGGCCAAGGCAGTAGGACTGTTTGAGGCCAGCAGTGCAAGGCCAGCCTGAGCAACAGAGGCTGAATCTCTACCAAAAGAAAAAGGAAAATTAGCTGGGTGTGGTGGCACGTGTTGGTGGTCTCAGCCACTTGGGAGGTGGAGGTGGTAGGATCGCTTGAACCCAGGAGTTTCAGGTTGCTGTGAGCTGTGCTGACATTACTATACTGTAGTCTGGGCAGCACAGCAAGAGCCTTTTTTTTTTTCTTTTTAGATAGTCTCTCTCTGTCACCCTGGGTTGAGTGTCCTGGAGTTGTAGCTCACAGTGACCTGAAACTCTTGCCTCAGCCTCCCTAAAAGCTGGGACTACAGGTGGCTTCCATCACATCTGGCTAGTTTTCTCTATTTTATTTTTTATTTCCGATTAATTTAAGGGTACAAAGAATTGGGTAGTTTTTTCTATTTTTAGTAGAGACAGGGTCTCACTTTTGGCTCAGGCTGGTCTTGAATTCCTGAGCTCAATCGATCCACCCGCCTTGGCCTCTCAGAATGCCAGAATTATAGGCGTGAGCTACTGTGCCTGGCCCAAGAAAAGTCTTTTAAAGGAAATGTATGTAGCAGGGTTTTTCATCATTTGTAGTGTATATCAGAATGATACTGTTTCTTGAGAGAAAAGTTTACTTGGTTTGTGTATGGGTTAGTTACTACTAGACAAGAAGGAAAATAGAAAACCCCAGTGGAGTGCTCCAGCTGGCATTTACTGAGTTCATGCTCCGGCTGTCTGTGGGTCAGCCAGTTTAAGCTGCTCGGTGGAGATGGCTGTGCCCCTTCAGGTGTCGTAGGTGGCTGTGCCCCCTCAGGTGTCGTAGGTGGCTGCGCCCCCTCAGGTGTCGTAGGTGGCTGCGCCCCTTCAGGTGTCGTAGTTGGCTGCGCCCCCTCAGGTGTCGTAGGTGGCTGTGCCCCCTCAGGTGTCGTAGGTGGCTGTGCCCCCTCAGGTGTCGTAGGTGGCTGTGCCCCTTCAGGTGTCGTAGGTGGCCTGAGTAGAAGTGGAGGATTCTCTGCATGTTCTTCTTTCCTAGCAGGACAGCCTGGCGTACTTTCCTGAGACCGCAGATGTGCTGCAGAGCAGCCCTGCTTTCTGGGTCTTTATCTACATCATCCAGCTAACAAGGCATTGGCCAAAACAGGTCCCGTGACAGGACACAGACTCAGGGAGTTGGGATATACTTGCTCCTTTTATTGGAAGGAGCTTCAGTATCATATAGCAAATGGAAGTGTAAAAGAAGGGTTAAAGATTAGAGCTTAAGGCTCAGCGCCTATAGCTCAAGCGGCTAAGGCGCCAGCCACATACACCTAAGGTGGCGGGTTCGAATCCCCAGCCCGGACCCACCAAAACAACAATGACGGCTGCAACCAAAAAATAGCCGGGCGTTGTGGCGGGGGCCTGTGGTCCCAGCTACTTGGGAGGCGGAGGCAGGAGACTCGCTTGAGCCCAGGAGTTGGAGGTTGCTGTGAGCTGTAATGCCATAGCACTCTATCCAGGGGGACAGCTTGAGGCTCTGTCTCAAAAAAAACATAGGAGAGAACGAGTTGGAGGTTGCTGTGAGCTGTAATGCCATAGCACTCTATCCAGGGGGACAGCTTGAGGCTCTGTCTCAAAAAAAAAAAAAAAGATTAGAGCTTAAAAAAGGTTAAAAATTGGGGCTCTTGCAGGGCCCCAGGTGTGGTGGCTCACAGCTATAATTCTAGCACTCCCAGAAGTCAAGGAGGGTGGTTTGCTTGAGCTTAGGAGTTCAAGACCAGCCTGAGCAAGGGTGAGACCCTGTCTCTACGAAAAATAATAAGAACTAGCCAGGTGTTGTGGCGGGTGCCTGAAGTCCCAGCTACTTGGGAGCCTGAGGCAAGAGAATCACTTGAGCCCAAGAGCTTGAGGTTCTGTGAGCTGTGATGCCATGACATTCTACCTGGGGCAACAGAGTGTCTTGGGGGAAAATAAGAAAAATTGGGCTTTGATCTATAGTTCAGTCTACTGGGGTTCCAGCTCAGCCAGGAGTAATTCCTTGCGCATTTTTATGCTCTGTGTTGGTGTAGTTACCTCCTAGTAAATACGTGAAGGTCACACCACTGCGTTTGGGTTATTATTTTTGCGTCCCTGCCACTTCAAGACAAAAAGTAATGTTGACACAGTTTATTGAAAGTTATTTTAATTAATTTCTATTGGAATATCACATAATTGTAGAAAGAATGTAAGTTAAAAGTATGTAGTTCGATTAATTATCCCCAAATGATTATATTTATGTGGCCATCCATCCACGTTAAGAAATTAAACATTAAGAGAGCCTGTAATCCTAGCTCTGTGGGAGGCCCAGGGAGAGGATCACTTGAGGCCAGGAGTTAAAGACCAGCCTGGGCAATAGCGAGAGCCCGTCTCTACAAAAAAGAAAAAAAATTAGCCAGGCATGACGCAAGCCTGTGGTTCCAGCTGTTCAGGATGCGTAGGCAGCAAGATCTCTTGAGCCCGGGGATTTGAGGCAGCAGGGAGCTGTGACGACACCATGGGACTCCAATCCAGGCAGCAGAGCAAGACTCTGTCTCAAAAAACCTATCAAAATTAGAATTCCAGAAAGCACCCACGAGACTCATTCCGTCCACTGTTCCTTCCTCTTGCACAATTTTTGCCTGTTTTTGAACATAATATTAGTGGGATCAGACAGGATTGCAGATGTTTGTCTTCATTTCTCTGTGCGATAATGATTGTCTGATAAGCGCAGGTCGTGTGCAGCGGTTCTGCACTTCATTTTCTGTGCATTTTCAATTTCATTTTTGATATTCTGTTATAGGTACATATCAGGTACCCGGGCGATTG